AAAACGCTCTTTGTATGGTCTTAAGCAGGCTCCTCGTGCTTGGTTTGACATATGATGCATCTCTGTTTTTTCATAAGAGTCCCACTGGCATTGTTTTTTTGTTGGTATATGTGGATGATATTATTATCTCTGCATATGATCACGGTCTTATTCAAAAACTTCAGCAACATCTTCACTCAGTTTTTCATATAAAAGACCTTGGTCAGCTTACTTACTTTCTTGGCTTAGAGGTACATACTACATCAAATGGTCTCTTCTTAAATCAACATAAATATATTCAAGACTTGATTAGATTAGCTGATCTCTCTGAAGCCTCCTGAATTGATACACCGCTGGAGCTTAATGTTAAATATCGAGAGGCCAAAGGAGATATTCTTCCACATCCTACTCTTTATCGAAGGTTGGTTGGTAGTCTCATTTATCTCACTATCACACATTCGGATATTTCATTTGCAGTTCATACTGTAAGTAAGTTTATGGATGTCCCTCATCATCTTCATATGGTGGCTGTCCGTCACATTATTCGCTATCTTATTGGAACTCCTCATCGTGGTCTCTTTTTCCCCCGAGGGTCGTCTCTTGATCTCATAGCTTACAGTGATGCTGATTGGGCTGGTTTGTTCTGATTCTCGTCGTTCTACTATTGGGTGGTGTATTTTTTTTGGTGACGCTCTTATTTCTTGGAAATGTTAGAAACAAGACTGTGTTTCTAAGTCCTCCACTTAGGTTGAATACCAAGCTATGTCGGCTGCATGCTCTGAGGTTGTGTGGTTACATGGTCTTCTAGCCGAACTTGATTTCTCCCAATCACAACCTACGCCTCTTCATGGTGACAACACTAGTGCTATTCAGATTGCAGTCAATCCTATGTATCATGAACGCACCAAACATATCGAAGTGGACTGTCACTATATTCGGGACGCCTATGATTCCAAGGTCATCGCTCTTCCCCATGTTTCCACTTCTCAACAAGTCGCAGATATCTTCACCAAATCTCTAACACGCCACCGTCATAATTATCTCGTCAGCAAATTGATGCATGTGGACTCCCTAACATCAATTTGAGGGAGGGCATTAGCGTGTATTATTAGAAATTATTTACTTACTGCAATTTACGTAGTTTCCTTGTACATAATAGCTAGTTTCCATGTATACTTTGTGTCCTAAAATAACTTGTAACTTCTATAAAGAAAAACCAAGACACACGAGAAATTCATTCAGCAAAAATATTGTCAGGGACGCCCCGCCCCGTTGCCATCACTACTTGAGAATGAGTAGTGGGTGTTGGTATTGTTCAAATCAAAATGTAACGTGTAAAGAGTTTTCGATATTGTATATCGGAATGGATTTTATTAAGTGCGAGAAACAGCACTTTGCATGTTAAGTATCTTCACGCACGAGTATCTACAAGCCATTCTTCTCTCGTGCGTGAAGTAGAGTGATTTTTCTCTGTTCAAGACACTTGTTCAAGCAAGCTAAATGCCAGTTAACACTTGCTTGAGCGAGCACTAGCTCGGCATCATTTTTCCTTGTTGAAATGCTGTTCTTTGGGACGTGATATCAACCAGGGGGAGAATTTCTTGAAACCTTGTGTCTCTTCATGAATAACACATCCAACTTTATGAGTTTTCGATTTCGTTTTGTGAATTTTCATATCCACGAAAAGTGTTTAGGCGGAATCAACCCAAAAACCAATCTCCAACTTAGACGGCATAAATATCGTTTTTAGGACAATATATATGATCTGTGTTTCAAGCTTTCTTTTTTTAGATATTTTCTACATCTTCACTTCAAGTTCTTTGATTCGATTTTTCATTTCACCGCCTTTTTCATTGCACATGCCCACAAATTTGTCCCGTGTTAGGCGACTCAGGCCGAGTGTAGGTCGGCAAAGACTACACGAAGTTGGGTAGCCAAGTTGACATCTCTAGATGGAACGATCGAATTAGGGAGCAAGAGAAATTGAAATTACGGGCAGAGCCCCACATGGTCCAGTGCAGGCAAGTAAACTTTGGGCCCAAGCCCATCTACTTTTCCCTTTTTTTATAATTTTGAGAGCCCCGTATTTCGAGTGCAATGATGGGATGAACAATATTTGTTAACTTCCTGTGTTTTTCAGGTAACTCAAAAGAAATTAACTTTTGGGATTTTTGGATGATTTAATTTCTATGATGATTTCTAGATTTGAAGGGTATTTTTTGAAGTTTGGGATTTGATGCTTTTGGTATTGAGTGATTAATTGTGGATTAAAGATTTTTTTTTTAATAGATTTTGGAAAATTAATTATGGATCATGTGATTGGAAGAAAGTTTAAGTTAAGGAAAAAAATTGGCGGTGGATTTTTTGGAGAGCTTTATTTGGATAATCTGATTCATTTTTTATGCCTAATAAACACTTGCAATAGGACTGTTCGAACTTTTATCTCCTCAACTTGGATAGGATACATTTATAAATTGGCAGAGTTTGTATGTAACAACAAGATATTCAAGTTTTTTGTAAGACGGATAAGCAATACATCCTATCATAGAAATTCAATTTTTTTAATAAGGTACATTTTTTAAAATTGATAATGAAATTATTGTACAACGATATCAAAATATAAAAACTCAAAAAGAATAAGTGTAGCTTATGAATTATATCATTTTTAGTATTTTGTATTAGTTTTATATTTTTTCATCATTAAGTCCATAACCAAAAACTCAAATTTTGGCGTCGATTAAATTGTGTCCGTATTGAACGAATTTTCTGACTCCGCCCCTAGTTGAAATATATTTATTGCACAAAGAAAGGAACAGTAAAAATGCCTTAATTATTTTAAAACAACTTTTTATTCAATAAAACTGTTTGCATGAAGCAAATTACATGACACGTTGTACGTAGTACTGGGAATCAACAAATCAAACCGGGAAATATAAACTTGGGATGAGCTTAGCACACAGTGGCAGTAGATGCCTTATTCACTCGCAAACACACAACGTTAAAAGCTAAATTTTATTTTACTTTTAACACAATATCCCTACTAAAAAAGTAGGAAATTATCTAACACTGAGGCCAGTGTTTGCCATGGGATTGGGTCTGTATCTTGATTTTTAGGGTATGTGTTCATCTCCGGATTTAGCCTCAGTCTGGGCATCGCCTCCGGCAACCTTTTTGCAATGTGGGTAGTGGCAGCCACCACGCCATCCGCCACCTCCACCGCCCCATCCACCACCTCCTCCTCCGCCTCGCCATCCGCCTCCACCTCGCCATCCGCCTCCACCGCGCCATCCTCCACCTCCACCGCGCCATCCTCCACCTCCACGCCAGCCATCAACTTCCGCGCCAACCTCTTCAAATATATACAATTAAGCAGCATCAGTGCTATAATTAACTATGATCCAAATTCACAGATATTAGTACATGAAAATGCATATTGTTCATTTAATATTAACATGCAAATATGCAACATTTAAGAGAGAGAGAGAGAGAGATTGGTGACGGATACTCACGAGTTTGGGGAACCCCTGCAGGCTCATTACCAGCAGAAGCATTGGAAGAGATGAGAAGAAGTACAGCAAAGAGAAGAATGAGAATAAATAAAGTCTTGAAGTGAGCCATTTTCTCAAGTAGAGGAAAGTATGCTTCAAGATTATGGATGAGAAACTCAATGTGAGTCAGCCCTATGTATAGGCCAATGTCTCCCTTATGAGTTGACTATTTCAATCAGGAGTCAAATTCTAACATATATAATAATTCTAATATATGGTAGGAAGTAACTATTTTCTAATTTCTTGATCATCAATTATTAAAATGAAGTGACGTTGCCATTCGTATCAATCGAGTTTTAATGTCACTTACAATCAAAACTCGAAATAGAGCTTAAATTTTAACTTTTGAAACTAGTCCTTGTGCCTCGTATATAAGTGCTCTCCTCCCGATAGCTATATATATCCATTCTTTTCCCTCTTTCAAACACAACATACACAACCCAAGACCTAGAGAGAAAAGAGAGAGAATTTTGGAGAGAATTTTTACAAGTTGAAGGTGTTCATCTTGGGTATAAATTCAAAGGTATTTTCTTTCTTGGGGATTAACTTGAGGCCCAAAACGACAAAGATGTCGTTTTGTGTTTTCTTCACAAATTTTTTTTCGTTTTCGAAAACGGGAAAGAGAACACGTTTTCACCGTTTTAAAAAATCGAAAACAGAATACGACCCGAAAACGATAAAGAGAACAGGGCCTAAATGTTTCCTAAAAAATTCGAAAATCTTCACTAGAGAGCCCCATATCTTCTACCATCAAATCAACATTTGGCCCGTAAAGTTTGTCTTTCCAATCATGCGGTAAATATCGAATTTTCAGTTTCAGTACTTCTGCGCGTCGAGAAACGCCAAATCTAATCAAAGGGACTCCGGATCTAGCAGCTTCAAGTGCCCCCTATAAGCACCCTCCGGTCGCCGGATTTTAGGGTATTGTAATCATTTTCCGAATATGTTAGGGTTTCGTACCATTGTCCTGATTACATTAAACCATTTGAATTTAAAGCGTTTGTTGGCAATTTTTTTAAATTCAGATTGTTGTTAAAATTTTGAAATTCGAGGTATGGATTTGTTTATTGATTTTTGCTATAAAAAATCACTGTTGCAGAGAAACTATAATTAGTCGTTCATCAGGGAGATCGGATAGGAAATGGGGTTTTTGGTGACAACCCTGATTTTCGTCGTGGTCGGGATTATTGCATCCCTGTGTGCTAGAATATGCTGCAACAGGGGACCCTCTGCAAATCTGTATGTATACATTTGTTTTCAAGTTTATGCTTTCTTTTGTAGTTAGTCAAATACTGGACTGAAGAAGTTGGGCACTTCATAAGCATGAATGTCACAAGGATGAGATACAGTTTTTTCTCAAATTTAGGATGATAAATATAGATTGGATAACGTAGCAATTTGTGCTTTTACCAGTATTATATGAATGGTTTAAAGGACTTGTATATTTGAAATTCTATTTATAAGTATATTGTATATGACTTATTTTATTCTTAGTTATATGTTTAATTCCTATATGAGGTAAAATTTAACAATTGGTTGAGATCAAAATTTTTTTGAAGTCCATTTAGCTATAGAAATAATCTGCTGACTCTAGTTGATAATAATTTGACTGATATATTTGATTTGAAAAATAACTTAAGTGTAATTTCTGCAGCTTAACAAATAATGCCTTTGTGACTGTTTGGTACCATTAGCTTTTGCTGATGGGGTCTATTTCTATCTTGTGATGCAGGTTACACCTGACATTGATCATTACTGCAACTGTATGTTGTTGGATGATGTAAGTGAAACTCTCCATTAAGCAGCAAATAGATATATGTTGTATTTTTACTGTTCCCGTCTTTATTTTTGGCTATGCTCTTGTTTTTCACCCTCTGCAGTCATAAAAATGTTATGCTGATTGGTCACGTATTAGCGTCCCCTTCATGCAATGAATCTTGTCAAATTGTGTACTTGCTTTCTAAATGATCATTGCGCTTCATAAACTTTTGCTTGTGTAATTTGTGGCTGGATCATCTACTATTATCCTAGAGCAACTGAGGTTGCTGTGGCCATGAAATTTGTTCTCTGTTGTAGCATTTCTGTTCGAGAGTTGCAACATTAGTAATCTTGAATCTGTTGCTTTCTTTTTCTCATCCGCTGAGGAGCTTGAGTTCTACTTCGTATCTGGTTCTCTACTTGTCCTTGAGTTGCTGCTTAATGTTGAATAAATTAGGCATGGTCTATCACGCAGCTTGTCAAATATTTGTGATGTATTTGGGAACACAATATTCTCCTAGGATTGGAAGAATTATTAATATTGAATACAGGGAGAATAGCTTGTAATACTATTTCTTTTTGGTTTTTATATGGGTTTTGGTAGGCATACGGTTATGGGATTTGTGTGTACTTGCTTTCTAAATGATCATTGCGCTTCATAAACTTTTGCTTGTGTAATTTGTGGCTGGATCATCTACTATTATCCTAGAGCAACTGAGGTTGCTGTGGCCATGAAATTTGTTCTCTGTTGTAACATTTCTGTTCGAGAGTTGCAACATTAGTAATCTTGAATCTGTTGCTTTCTTTTTCTCATCCGCTGAGGAGCTTGAGTTCTACTTCGTATCTGGTTCTCTACTTGTCCTTGAGTTGCTGCTTAATGTTGAATAAATTAGGCATGGTCTATCACGCAGCTTGTCAAATATTTATGATGTATTTGGGAACACAATATTCTCCTAGGATTGGAAGAATTATTAATGTTGAATACAGGGAGAATAGCTTGTAATACTATTTCTTTTTGGTTTTTATATGGGTTTTGGTAGGCATACGGTTATGGGATTTGTTTCATTAGACTTGTTGCTTTACTATAATTCCGATTCAGAAAATGTTCTAATTATTAGTTTTGTACTTTTTGCTACTTTTGTTCCTCTGATTCTCTGGGTCACCTTGCTTTTCTTTATTCCTGTGTAGGTGGGCAATAGTATATCTCGCACAGATGAAACCACTAATTGTTCCTATTTTGAATGAAACGGAATGATGTGCTAGAGGAAATGCATATGCAACCGTTTGGAAACCTATTTATCTATCGTGGATGCAAATTGGGCGAGTGACGAACAATAATAATTTAGTGTATGCGATACCCAGAATCCTTTTGGTGTCAGATTTGTATGTTAATTTTTATTAATGCAGACAACTCTTTTAAAGTTCATTTTTTCATATTGTGCTCTATTGATATTGGTTGTAAACATGTTCTGATCTCATATTCATTTTTGTAAGAATGATAGCGCGTATGTGTACTTTGAAGAGAAGAAGGTAATGCATTTGGTATTGTATCTGCTTGTATATCCGTGTGCAAGAGATGGACTGTCGGAAGAAAACTGAAAACTGGGGCAGGGGACTGGGGGACTTAATGACTGGTGGTTCGGTTTTATGGTAACGCTGTGTCTGGCTGATCTCATTCTAATGTTATCAATTCTTTGTTCTCTATGAGCACAGCTGCCTTGAGGAATCAATTTTTCTTCGAAAATGCCACATTTCTTCTTGTGCATGTATATCACTTCAACAGGGTTGTTTTTAAGAACCAAAAGTGAGGGAGAATGCTCATCACCACCTGATGAAATTTTGTCAAAGTTCTTTCCCCCCCCAAAAAATTAGATGGTACGATAAAAATGGAAAATTATACCATCATGAATACAGAGAATTTATTCAAAGAGAAATGGTGCGTCAAGGTACATTGGTAGTCTCGTTAACTTGTATTCATCACCAAAGTCCATCGAGAAATAAGGCAGAGTTGGGTACAATATCGTTTCACTAGAATAAACTATATTAAAAGAACAATCCTAGACATTGCGCGCGAGAGAGAGAGAGAGAGCATTTTCAGTGCCTGGGTACAATTTCTTCTGTATGGCCGATGTCTAAAGATCACAAGAAGAAAGATGCTGCAGGCGAGGGTACAAAGGACAACATACTTTCACCAAAATATTCGTATAGCGAAGGCAGCAGATGCCCAACATCTACATCGTCCTTCCAGGCTTGAGTAAGAGCTGCTGATGTGCTTGGTCCTTGACCACTGACCATCTCCTTTCTGCCACTGCTTTCAGGCACATTCTCATTTCGTGATGATTGTAAATTAGAGTCTGCGGTCCCAATAATTGTTGGGTATCCACTGCTCGATCCTGGCATGTCGACTGGCAATGAGTTTGCCAGTGTTACACCCATAGGACTCTCTGTTGCTAGTTTCTTGAGTGGTGGCTGTTGCATCACATTATCCATGCTGGCTTTGCGTTTCTCTGACATTTTGAAGATAAAAAAATAAAAAACGAGTCTCATCAATAGCAAATGTACAGAGTTAAATATGGAAAACATGTAGGCTTATGCACTTCACAACATGAATGGCATCAATGAGCATAAGGAGCCATAGCCACATGCAGCCTTTAAAACACAGAAATTTCATTTCCATTCACACGTTACAAATTCAAAATACTGCTCTTCTCTAACAGCCTAACACAGACCTTTATGCCCTGAGCGTTTTAGGACTAGTTTGATATGTTTTCTGATACATGACTGTTAAAAGGCATAGATACATGCAAGCACTCGGGGCAATGCATAAAATAAATTACAAGGAGATTTCACATACTGCCACAGCCATTTCAGAATCATTTGTTGTGATGAAACTCAAAGATGACTATGGCCGGCAAATGCATGAAATAAATGCAACAATAAATCATAATTTAAAAAATAATAATAATAAGTAAAAAATAAACAAAACCATTCAAGGAAGTATTGTAGACAGCTTCATACTTGACGTTGTCGTTATGACTTTTCCATTACTCTTCCAGACAGCACGTGCTGGTGGAGCTAGTAGAGAGGGGAGCGTCTTCAGACGATCATACATGCACAGGCCAGCTGCACGCTAGCAAGTATATTTCCTCGTTAGTCAAATTACCTTTAATATTTTGTTCCTCCAGTTATTAAGAAACTGAATGAAGTAATAAACACAAAAATCATACAGTCAATGATCTTTCACCATAATTCTAGCTTTGGATCAAAAAATACTGATAGGATCTTCATAAAAAATGTAGCAATATCATTCTTCTAAACACCTCAGCGGGGCTTAAACAGACAGTAACACGTCAAGATAGCTTCAGAAAAATACTTCTAAAATTATTGAATTCCAAATGTTATCGTTTGGCCTGTTATGGTGTATAAAATGTAAGGATTTGATAACAAAAGTTTCTGCTGAGATTCTGAATGATCTGAATGAGTCCTCTTCAAACACTACATCAGCATTTCAAGTTAACTTCACAAGTTGAAAGAGGTACACATTCCAATGATGAGAGAAGCAAGACATTCAGGATCTGCAAGGGCAATAAGCAATTTTTCACCAATTTCTCTTAAATATTTAGAGACGTCCTTGTGACAAAAATTAGCGTGTCTGGGATTGTGGTGGATAAAAGTTGATTTTGGTGTCAAGTCACGGGCCCCACCATGTTTGAATAAAATCTGCTTTCTTGCCAACTTCATTACAGTGGGCAACTTCAACATCCCCAAAAAGTCAAAATCAACCCCTTATTGCGTCTAGAAATAAATGAAAACAAGGGCAAACTTGGCAATTGATCAAACAATGAATTGTGGACCTTGCAATTGTCTGAAAAGAAGTCAGATTTTTATTGAAATAGAGAATTCATATTTGACCACCAACGGTCGGATTTTTCCTATTAATTCAAATTTAATTGTTCCCAGACATGGGCTTAAACTGTTCCCTAGGAAGAGATTTTTCATGCAATAGCAAATGATGAGAATTTTTTCTTCTTGTGCATCTGTTCCTCAAAACAATCAAATTTAAAATAAAATTGAGGGGAAGTTACTAACAAAGCACTTCTTACCATCAACGCCCCATATACAAGCCAGGCTTCATGCCTCTTCACCTCATTCTTCTGCTTCTCAAGTTGCATTTCTGGCTCCAGAAGCCGCAAATAAGGATCAAGATTGGGAAGCACAAGCAGGCGAACCTAGCCAAATGATGGAAACAGCATTAATTGTTAAAGCATGTGACAATTTTGAAGATGAGGGAAATATAAGGAGAAAATAAGAGACTAAAGGGAAATACCACATTAGGTCCAAGCGTTGCTAGACCTTGAATTGCGCCATAATGTTGAGGGAGTGCTTTTGACGGGTCCAAGAAAGCATGCAGCAATGTCCTGGTGACACGTGGCTGGAGATTGTGGTAAACGTGACCAAATCTGCATAGTTATAATTGCGAGAAAGTTATCAGAGCCTGAACATGAAATGATTATTATGATCCCATTCTTGGTCCTTAATGATGCAGGTAATCTATATTTGATGTCAGAAAAATGTAAATGCAGGGAATTCCTTCACTTCTAACACCTCTACAGTAAAAAGGTGCACCATCCTCAAAAAGTCGTACTTAATTCAATTATTTCATAATGGTAAGCAACTATTGACAATCCTTACCTCTTGCATATTGAAGCAACCAGATTAGCCGTGAAGTTTCTGAGATCCCAGTGATTGTCGGAGAACTTATTTCCTAGTCTTTTTGCAACCAGGCATGTCATCACAGAAGGCATCAATTGGTGCAACTATTTAACAATAATTAGCACACAGGTGTAAGAAACCCCCTTCTTTTGAATCAAAATTTGAAAGCACGTCAGCTCAAATACTTATAAGCTGACAAAAATCAAATTGCACACAACCAGTTTTCCATAGGCATATTCCATAAGTTAATTACTACGAGTCAGAAGTAGAGTGCCAGCACTAGGCTCATCTCCTACCTCCTCTTTATTTAAAATGTTTGGTTTCTGTCATCTTAATTGCAATAACATCATAACTTTGGACGTGGGCCTTGATGTAAAAATTCCAAAGTATCAACCAATCAATCTGATGTCATTTTCTGCATTAATTAATGGCGTTAAGAGTTTAATATGGCCAGCAACATCCGCAGAGTAGCTGGATCAAATTTATTCTAGGCCCAAAAGATGAAATCAATAAGTTTAACATTGTCCAAGTCTGCTGAATAAAATAAGAGCTCAGACAAAATTAGCACCCAAGGAAATTCTAGAGCCTATACATTGACGATAACTTTGTATTCTTCTCACCTTAATACTCAATGAGAGGAGAACCAAAAAAATATATATATATATATATATGTGTATATATATATATATATATATCTATATATATATATATGTGTGTGTGTATATATATATATATATATATCTATATATATATATATGTGTGTGTGTATATATATATATATATATATCTATATATATATATATGTGTGTGTGTGTATATATATATATATATATATATATATATATATAATAAATAAATAAAATACAAACAGAAAGAAAGAAAAGAAAAAGAGGTAAACAATAAGCTTACATAGGGCTCAATGTGTATGTGAGGATTTTGAAGAAGGCTCCAAACAAGACGCATCAAAGCAAAAAGGAGAGAAAATTTATTCAGATTCCGAGAAACCTGCCATGATTTCAGGTCCTGAGTCATTGCCTCATAATGTTGATACAGTTTGGACAGGAAATGATATTCAATTACCTCATCAGCAACAAAAAATGTGAAGTAAGGAACTAAAGGATGAATGCCTGAGTCAGTAGCCAAGCTCACTAGAGCTTCTTTAAAGAGGGCAGAATCGGATCTACTAACAGTAAGCTCTGTGATTTTCTCAAAGTAAAGCTGCAAGCACAAATCAGAAAACAATTGGTGTGAAATTTTCCTTGGATTGGCATCACAAAGAGTTACACATAAGGCCTCAGCAGTACCTGAAGCTCACGGGAAAGAACATGCTTTACAGGTAATTTGATGTCTACAGGAATTCCATCCTCTTTGTATGCAGTCTTTCCATTATCAGAAGGCACTGCAAGTACTGCGACAAACAGAAGGTACATCATTTTTATGACATCAACAGTGGAGTAATACTATACAGAATCCCATATGAATTGAACATAGAGCCGTCATTGTAGGTATAATTCAGCAGCAAGGGCAGAAAAAATAACTGTTCAGAGATAAGGGAAAAGAGAAATTTTTTCATAGACACACATTCGCATGTTTTGAGATATTTTAGGTCTATCATTGTTCTCAAGTACCTTCAGGAGGTGGATTTTCTGGAATGGCAGGTTGAACTCCTTCAATAGCTAACCAATGAGCAACCACTTCTGTATCTAATGGTGCCTTTGGTAGAGGAGCTTCAATCACCTAAGTACATCCAAAATAATAAGCAAAATGAATACTTAAACTACTAATGGCAATCCCCTGAAACCAAAAAATAAGTAAAAATAAAAACATTTGAACTCTTACTTCCTTAAACTCTACATCTTTATCCTCAATGTAGAACAAATCCTTATGTCCAGCAGCTCTTTTGAACCGCAACGGATCTCCTGATGCAAATCCATATACTGGCTGGGAAATATTACAGAAATAAATAAATAAATAGAGACTAAATATTTGACCATTAAATACCTTAATTCAAAACATAAAAACGTAAGCCATTCGTTATTAGATAAAACGGAACTAATTGCAAAGAAAAGAAAAAAGCTAACAAGCAATGCAAAAAAAGGTCAAACCGAGTCTAATTAAATAAACACCTCAACGTTTCTTAAGCCAAGTGCACTGTCCACGTCGACGGCGGTTAAGGTGGTTCTCCTCGAATGCCGCATGCATTTGATAGCTTCCTGTACGAAATTTAAGAAACAACAAATGACACACAAAATAAGACTCAAAAATTATCACGTAAAACATGAAATTGAGCAAAATTAAGTTTAAAAACCTGCATAATTTCGCGAACGCGATACTCGACATCGGAAGCAATAGCAGGTAAAACATCTGGTGACAAATTGGTGATGCCTATACTCTGTGCTATCACTTCAATTGTTTCTTTCGGAACTATGCTCATTCTCTAATTTTTCAACTCTGCAAAACCCCAAATACAAATATATGTGATCATATTTAAGCATACACACAGGGGTCAAATTTAGATTTTCTCTTTTTGCTAAGAAGAGGAATTAATTATATGAAATGGAAATTTGTTAATTTTAGGGCTCCGGCTTGAATCCTTCCCTAATTCGGGTACTGGGCTTACAAGAATGGGCATCTTACAAAGATACCTTTAAAATTGGAGGTCTTTTGAAAAATCAAATAAAAAATATTAAATACTTTGTAAAGTTAAATATACAAAAATTGACATTTTCCACTTAAAATAGTGACAGAATTTCAAAAAAAAAAGGTAACAAACAATTAAAAAAAAAGTGACAGAAAATTTTGAAAAAAAATAGTGACAAACACTCAAAATAGTTCAAAAAAGTGACAAAAACTTTAAAAATTAACGAAACGCTAAAAAAAAGTGATAAAGTATCACTTTTTGTTAAAAAGTAACACAAAATCTACCACTCAAGAAAATGGTCAAGTATTGTAGCTCCAATTGAGCACAGCCTACCCACTAAATACTAAAGTCACTTCCAGAATAGCATGGTGTTCAATAACCAGGATTTTAAAATGAACACACTACAAGCCGAGCACAGAACCCTAAAAAATGGCAGTATTCAAGAGATGGAGATAGTCTTCAAGTACAAACACCAACACAACTGATATGAAATTATTAACTCCCAAGGGTGGAGCCAGAAACATTGTTCAGTGTGGACACGACTAAATCAATACCGAACCTTGAGTTTTGGCCATAGATTTAATGATGATAAAAATATAGAACAACATTATAACAATACTAAAAATGATATAGTTTATAAATTATACTTCTTCCCGAATTTTCATGCTTTGATATCGTTGTACAATAACTTCAAGTTAACTAGATAGCAATGCGGTAACAAATAAAAAGAACCCTTTTTAGAACTCCTGTCATGCCTATCAAAAATTCCTCATAGAATAGCACCACTTATTCACTTGAACTTCATTTTATAAGTTGGTTTAGCAAGTGTGACATTATTTCAATAGAAGTTCTAACACAACATCATTTCTAATGATTATCTTGAAAAAAATCAAATTGCAAGAGAAAGTAAAAGAATTTACGGGAGCGGAGCCAGAAATCAATGCTACCGGGGGGCAAAAAATTTTAAAAATTTAATGTAGAATAAAATTTTTAAGTCTGTCTTAAAAGTAAAAACACTTAAACACACCCTTACCAGTTACCAACTCCCAATTAAATGCTATATACTATTACTATACGATCAGAAAGAATTGAAACAAGTGAAAAGAGAGCAACAAATGCTTCCAAATTGATATTAACATGTGTTTGTAACTCTGAATCATAAGAGAGGGCTGAGGGCAGAAAGCTACAAATCAAATTCCTAGAACTCGAAGACTCGAACAAAATTTCAAATCCCCAAAATTCACCGATTCAAGTTGGCTTCTTAGTTCTTATACCTAGTATTTATGATTTATCATATACATAATACAAACCAACTAGAATTAATCGAAAAGATAGCGGAAGATTTTCATGTTGTAATTAGTAAATTACTTACCCTAACCTAACCCAAGTCGGCACTCGACAACCGGGCGGTGATATGCTGACGTGTCACGGACTCACGGCAGTCAGCAGACCAGGCAGTGAGTTGGCACTCGGCGGTCCCGTTCGACGGCTACGGCAGGGGCAAGGTGAAAAGTTTTAGGGATTTTGATTTTTGATTTTTGGGAATTATTTCATTTTGTTTTGTAAAGGCAAACGAACGGGATTTCGGGTGTAATATTGTTTGCACCAATTCATAAGTCACGTCAATATTTTAAAAGTTCAAAAGTCAGGTACGTGTGTAATTAATTAAAAATATTTATTAATTAAATATAATAAAATTATTGTTATACAATTATTGGTCACAAATTTATTTACTAGTCACATATCATCAAATCAATTGGTCACATATTATTTCGATATTACAAATTAAAATTTTTGTACGTCACAGATTTATTTTTAGATCACAGACATTCAAATTGCAGGTCACGTTTTATCTATGGGTCACCTAGGTCATTGTTTGTTGGTCACAATTTTTTTTTAGTCACAAACACCTAATTTTTTGTCACAAATCAGCGAAATAGTTTGTCACAGACGACTAAATAGTTTGTCACATATTCCAAATAGTTGGTTACAGATTCCAAACACCCCCACTACACAGGTCCCGATCCAACACCAATATTGACCACAACTCACCACTACCCAATCAACGCTTGCACCACACCACCGCAATCACCGTAACACCACACCCAATCTAGATCTCATTCCACGACAATACTTGAACACATACACTACCCGCCCCCGCTACAATACCATTACAACCACCACCAACACCATATGAAAACCACTACCGCACCAACAATTGGTAACAACTCAAATAGTCGGTGACATACCACCACCAACTCCACCACGACCATTGTCACTTGCAACCACCAGATCCACCTCTACAGCACCATCGCCTGCACTACATTAGGGTTGACCCATTGGCTTCAACTTGGCGAAAACACTGATCAGGCACAGAGGCAAAACCATGGATCGCTATGATCTGTGTGTACCTGCCAACCACGGATCGAGCAAAGCTGCATTGACACTGGAATTGCGCGAAGCAACGACTACTCACAACGACAAGCTCTGCTGTAGTATTTGGCGACGACGGCCATTTTGACGGAGAGGATAGAGAGACAGAGAGGGAGAAGAGGATGGAAAGAAGAAGGAAAGAAAATAGAGAAGATGCAATTGGAGCTCCTTGCTCACAGCAACGATCTCCATTGTTGTGTCCGACGACGATGCCCTATATGTGACGAGGGGGGGGGGGGGGGGGGGAGAATGGGAAGAAAAGGATGTCACGTGTGTGTTTAGAGAGAGAGGGAGAAGTGAGTCAGGGTTTGGTATAATTGGGGGAATATTTAATATTTTCAAAACCTGATATCTGAATAAAAAACTTTCTGGCCTAACTTTTGCACTGAAATTTTCAAATACCGGGAATTCTGTAATTTCTTCTATTATATATTGATACAGATTAGTGGACAAAAAATTATATAAATTAGTAGGCTAAAGATCAAATAAAAAAATATTTGAGGTGGGCTAACCCATTAAAATTAATTGTTGTTGGGCTAATATTGGCTAATATATTACATTTCAACCAAAAAAAAAAATAAAAAAGTTGCATATGAGCCTTGACAACAGTGGGTTGCAGGCCTGCAACCAACTGTAGCCCACCCTTATATCCACCCATGAATTTACCAGAAAAACTAACAAAACTCCGATCTTAACCTCGAACTGAATGAATGGAGAGAGAGGGGTAGGGTTTGACGATGGTTAATCGAAAACATTAAAGAGAGCTGTCTGTTATCAATCAAATTTGTGAAATTGCCCGAAATTGGCAGAAAGAAATCATTGATTTAGGGTTTGGTTGGGGTTAAATTGCATTCAATTTTCTTTTGAGAACGTACATAATATGGTTAATGAAAGTTTTAAAAGTGAAAGGGTAGTAGTCAATTTTCCAATTAATAGACCGTACTAGGCCTACATATCCCTACAAGAATTTAGAGTATTGGGCCGGTGACCCAGAACAAAAGCCTGGCTCCAGGTTATATTAAGGAATAATAATCTAACAGGGTTCGGGGGACAAATGCCAGTCGACGTGGGCGCAGAATATTTTGCCATCCCTACTATATTAGGTTTAAAGATGTTCTTATTGCAATATTAAAATATTACATGGAATGTATCAATCTTATTCATTTCTAAGAAAAATAAAATGTCATAATTCGTTAAAAAGATAAATAAAATATAAATAAAATTTTACATTTAGCAGGAGAAGAGGGTAAAATGAAAATTTTAGGAGGTTTAGGTAATTTTTAAAATTGGAATGTCCCTAAATTATCATAAACCACAAAGGAAATTACCGAAATTTATCCTTTTAAGTATTTAGAAGATTTTCCATGACGTTCAAGCATTATTCGAACGCATTATTCCTTTCAAAAATTGTATTCATCAAGAGTGATGATATGAAGCACTAGCATATTATCTAATAAATAAAAAATATTTTATAAATAATTTGACAAAGTAACAATAACCAGATGGATAGAGTTACTTCTTTCATATCTGTCCGTCGGGTAATGTTCGAAACAATAAAGTATATTGTAAAATATCAAAATACAGAACAAACGGAACCTGCTAAAAATTCTCATTTGCCATTTTTGGTCTAATAACTTACATAAGAAGAAAATTTTCAGAAAAGCTTAATAAAGGTCTTACTGCGACAATGGAGAAGTTTTTTTACAATTAAATCGTATAGTACACATACGAGGAATCAATATACGAGAAACCCTTAAAAGTGCAGACGAAGAGGATATCGAAATCCATCTTCTTTAAAAAGGAAAAAAAATACGAAGTCGATCATTTTGCTCCTTACACCCTTTCTGTACTGATAGAAACTCATATTCCACGAGGAAAAAAGATAAAAGGAACTTCCAATTCCACCTTTCTACGTTACAAATATTTGATCAGCATATATATAACAGCAACCAATACGACTATCCCAATAACTGATAAAAGCAGGCACAAGCAGGAGCAGCCACCCTTTGTTCGTTTATTCAATATTGCAAGCCTCTTCTGCACTCTCTGTTTTCATTTAAAAAAAATAAAAAAATACAAATACAAGAAAAGAACGTCAATCAAATTGACATGTGACAAACAAAAACCTCATACAGCCACAAAAATAAAAGGATACGCATAAAGATGCCTGCAAATCTATAGTAAATGATGTGCACAGTAGTTTTTTTTTCAC